ACCGCTTGGTTTCCCAGACCCGCCGACGGTAAGACACACAGCATTTCGGACACCTGGTCAAGGAAGTCAAAGGGCGTACTGTAACGGCGGCACAAATCGTATTTGTCACCGCTGGGCTTGACGACTGTGACGCAGTTGTCGCCGCTTTTCAATGGGCTTACCGATTCGATCGTTTTCCCATAGATTGAATAACTGGGTTAAATTTCCTCGTGGTCTTGGGGTGAATTGGCGGCTATTCAAACCCATCCATCATTTCTGACGTTCATCATTATGGTGTTGCTGAATTTCTTAGGCGCGTCGTTAATTAATGATACGAACTCCGGAGCAGGTCTTGCGTTGTCACTTTAACCGCCTTGTTACCTACCTAACAACCGGACGGTTGACCAGCTGCTCTGCGTGCGTGCGAGCATGCGCTGCTTGGCACTTGAACGAAAAGATGAGGCGATGGGTGAGAACCACCTCTGAAGCGCAGCAATCTTCCCGTGAAGGCAAAAGCGGCACTTCGAACTCATAAATACTTCAGATCCCCAGACTTGTGACTCATCGATTATTGACCAGATAAATATATCTATGCATTTAACACAGTCTCGGCAATAGCATAGAATGCCTACAAGCTGTTGTGACTTCAAAAAATTTTTTTAATTTAAACAAATTTTCAATTGTGTTTCTTGTTTGGGACATCTACCCCTCTGTTCTCAACATGTCATTATGCCACTAACAGAAATCTAGCTGGCGTTTGTCCCTCTGTTACAGCATTGCTTCTGTGGCCGTTTGTGACTCAAATGCAGATTAAAATTTCTCACTTTAATGAGTCTGAAAGCCATCTTCATTTGGACAGCATTGTGCTCATCTATGAAAGTTACCTTTGAACCAGTACCAGAGGCGGCTTCCAGTCCTTCGATTTCGGACGTTTCAAGCGGCGGATGTTGGTAGTCGTCACTTTTTATATGTATTCTTTTGAATCTGTTCAGTCATTAAGGCCTATTTACCTGATTAGTCAATAACTACTCCAGACAGGTTCTTCAGATGATACTGTTATACGCACCAAGTTGGTATGATTCACATTTTGCACAACTGCCATATTGTTTTCTGGGCATAAAACCAATGTAGCGCTGTCTAGAAGACATCGAAAGACCTTGAAAGATACTTGGAGTCTTACTGCAGATCAGCCCCCTCTCCCCGCATCCATGGAGTTCTGTAAGAGCCGTCGAAACGAGGCTCCATGACAGAGTCTTAAGGAACTGTCACCAGCAGAGTAGAACATTACAGCCGCTCATAACAAAGACCTTATCTTAAATCCACCGGCGGAAGCCAAGAACGGTTGAGGATAAACAGAATTAGGACCGGACAAGGGCGCTGACAACGACACTTTCTCCATCGTGCAAGATTAAGACCAACTCGCAGTGTGAGTGCGACCATGAAGAACATACCATACAGCACATTATTAATAGCCTTACTTATAATCTCAGCTAGAAACTGGATAAAGTATTGAACTTGAAGATGACGCGTCACAAACTTTCTATATCTTTAGTTATAGAACATGGAACATTGTGCAGATCATCTTGCAGCTAAGAGATCATCGGATGCCACTGAGTCGCAGAAGTGACTTAGAAATCTTACCTATGGCCTCTTTGGGCATCATAGATCATGGCCTTGTGCGATAATATGACCATCAAATGTCAGCCGAATATGACATGATATAATCCTTGCCCTGAATCACTCATTTACATGAATAAAAAAATTTTTTGGTGATACTAAACAAGCAGACAGAAGATGTGCCTACTTCCAGTCATTCACAACACGGCATTGGTAAGAATTTAAAAACTTGCTTACGAATTTGCTTATTCATGAACTTTCGACTGACGAGTCATATGGGCTCCTAAACTTCAAATTATATAATGGCCAAACAGCTGTATGCGAACTCGCGGTATTCTCTTCGTCGATAATATATTTTTCCGCCACAGAAATTGGCTTGTTCGGTAGGCGCCGTGAGACTTCCCACGTAGGTACTGACCATGGCGGTAAACATTGTCAGTCGAGTCTTACAGTGGCAGCAGTTCATGTACGAAACCACATGTTCGAGTAGGCCAACCGAAGGTAGAATCGTACGATACTGCTATCATCAAATATCACAGGTTGATTTCGCAACGATTCTAAATGCGAACCAAATGCTGTATTGGTTTGTGCATTTCTCGTTCGAAAGGAGGTATTTTTTCGAGGCAAATTTGCCATGCTCATCTACGATTTATCGTTTTCATACCTCTCACGGATAACCTTTCTGTTGCCTGGTAATTGACTGTGTTCCGTAACATGACAGGACTTAAGCATAGCCCTGTAACTGGGTAAAGTGCTTTCAGCGATGCCATGTATTACCATACGGATTAATTGCGTGAAGAACGTAATCCGACCCAAGCGAATATTTTGCGCCCTCAACTGATCACTGCAGCCTTATGGGGGAGGGTGGTGGGCAAGCGATCGTTATTCTTGTTTGCTGCCAGTTATCTCACTGTATCTTCTGTGTTTCTACCATCACCATCGATCTGATATATCGGCTGATGTACTGCAACAATTTTCTGCCTACTGAGATGCTGAGTTTCGGACTTTACTCTCCGTTCCTAGCTTACAACCATTCGTAGGTAAATAATCATTGTTGTAGTGAAGAAACGACAGATAGACTACCGGTAACGTATACCCAAGGTCGTAGCTATCGTAGCCTTGCATCTCGATAAAGGACGACGATCGGCCGGTCTCTTTATGATACACGTATCTGCCAAATCTAAGCAATGACCATGCCCTATCTTGACATGGCGATCGAAAAGTCAGTTTGTTAACACGCCGCTTCTGACAAACTGGAATTCGTTCATATCGGTAGTTGGAAAAGGAAATTCGCCCGACAACGTCAAGGTCCTGAACAGTACAAATATGTGCTGCGCAAAAAGAAATATCTGGCACGACTGTTTTCATGAAGCGAGTGGTATGCGTGGCATTGATGTTCGTTTCATGACCATAAGCAATCAGTGCCTTATTGTAATGACGAACTGTACAGCTACGTGGCGATCATATCGTGTAGTCCCCTGTTTCCTTCCTACGGAGCGGTAGTCATTTATGATCCTCAGAAGGAAGAAGG